GGAGATGTGCACGTCTTACCAGCACAATCTGATGGCCTGGCGACAAAGACATCTCATCAGCAGCAGAGCCAGGTGTGACTTGGTGAATGAAGATGCCCGTCTGGTTCCCCCCAATGATGCTGATTTGTTCCATCAAAGTGTTGGCTTGGAAGGCAATGGTTGTGATGCGGCTTGGGAAACGCTGTGCAAGCCGCCGGCGCATAGGCACACTGGGGAAGAGGAGAATGGAGCCATGAGGACAGAGTGGGCATGGGGGCTTCTGTCTCCTCCCGGATGTGCATATCTCCCCTTTCCTTCCCCTTGGCTCATTCCTTCACACGTTCTACTGAGCTTCATAGCATTACATGCAAAGTGGGCCACTGTCAGAAATATCAGGTCTTAAAACCTTCCCTCTGAGAAAAAATATGTGTGCATGCAGACACACACATATACATCATGGTAGCAACTAACTCTAGATGACCCATACCAGGGGTGCCACCGTGAACAAAATATATGGGGGGGGGCAGGTAAGCCCTGCCCCACATAATCGATCACATGACGCAGTGCACACACACTATTTAAATAGCAATGTCCATCAACTTTTTTGGGGGGGGCTCAAATATTTTATGGAGGGGGCAAAGACCCCTTGGCCCACTAGGAGTTAGCTCCTATGACAGGTATCAATTACTTCCTGGGAAGCCTACAGCTATTTGCCTATACAAAAATGTTAGCTGGCCTGCTACTTGCTACTCAAATGTTCCATTCTTGCTTAAACTTGACACCTGTTTCTCATTTCTGTTGCTCCTTCTTGTCACCACCTTGCTTCTTGCCCTGCCTTCTTCTCTTTCCTCACCCCTTGCCTTCAGATAGATTCCTTGGGTGACAAACTAATTTTTTCCTTGATGTCAGCACAGCCCTTTTGTCTTTTGCCCAGGACATGGGTGCCTCAATTGTTGAGAAAATCCTCATTGACTTAGGCCTTGAGTCTGTGGTTACTTACGACCCAAACTTTCTGCGGTTGGGAACTTGACATTTACCTCTCTGAGATGCAGGGGTCCAGGTGAAGCCACAAAGAGTTGCCATCTGGAATGAAAAAGAAATGTTTGAATAGGTGAGAGCTAAGTGACCACTTTGTTTGTCTCTAACCAGGCACCCATGTTAAGTTTGCAAAGCTGCACACCAACCAATCAGAATGGGGCAGTAAGTTCTGCAACAAGAGGCAGGATCTATTATTGCTGAACAAAATGCTTGGCTGGTAACCTTCAGAGTTTACTCATTGTGTCTCCTTTGCTTTGCTGGATATGGGGTGCCTGCTAGATGAGGGGTGTGGCCTGGGAAAGTCTCATGGGCTCGATAAGAGATCCCTAAAGGGCAACATTTGGCCTGCAGGTCTGAAGTTCTCCACCCCAAAAAACAGGTAATCAGAATTCACCAAGGAAGCAAATTCTGGAATTGTATGTCCCTGCTTTTTCTCTTTAGTACAGATCTGACTTTGGAGTCACAGTATTGTACTTAAAATTAACACTTTGATAACAAGTCGCCTACTATTATTGATATGATTGGTTTGCCCTGTCCCAACTGAAGGGCCCCCTAAGATTGTGGACCCTTTGGAGAAAGGTAGTGAAGCTGCTACAATATGCCCAGAGCTAATGAGGTAATTATAAATACAACAACTCAATGGGAAGAGTCGTCTCCTCCCCTTAGCCAGGGACACACCAACCTAGGTTTGATCCCTTACCCTCTTTTTCCACCATCTCATACTCAAAAGGGGGGTCTTCTACTTTCTCTTCGGAAGCTGAAGGGAAATCGTCCTCCAGAAACTCCAGGGAACTGCTGCAAGAGGAGACATAAGTAAGATGAAAATAACAGAGTGTGAACTGGAAAGTTAGATCAATCCAGCGGGTCATGGCAGTTGCAAGGTTATATTCAGGATGGTGGGTGTGGGTGTATGATAAACAGGATGAACAATCTTAAAATATTCCCTCCTTATATATAGTTTAGTTGAGCCTAGAACAGATTCACACATGTCAGTGGAGCCTGTTAGCACATCATTTTAACTTGTTCCCCGCCCAACACTACATAATAAAATTGTCCTGCTGCAGTTTGCACGGCTGTCAAGAAGTGGCCGTGGTAACTGCTGCACACAATCTGGTGGTATATGAAGACTTAAGGGTGCAAGTTTTCTACCCTTCACGGCTGTGAAGAAAACATATGGAAAGTATAGGATCAAGGCTTATAAAGACTTCTAGTGGTGGTGGGGAGATAATTGTCACATCTCCATATCCTACCTAATTGCTCTTAACCCCCTTTCAAAATTCTGCTAAAATCTGGATGACTGGAAAAAAAGCATCTGCGATAAATTAGAAAACCAAAATATTTCTGTTAATTGGTATTTATTTCCCTGCTTTGCAAAATGCACCTGTCTATCAAAATTGTGATTCTCTCTCTCTCTCTCTTTTTTAATAAGCACACATGCCCACATAGGCCTAGCTGGGAACCAGCAGTATACAGCAGAGCAGGGTCTGTACTCACCTTCTGGAAAAGAACTTTCTTGCATGGCTCTCCTCTGTAGGGAATGCTTACATGGTGGGATTGGGCAGCATGAGCGGATGCTCCCAAGCAGCTCTTGGTTTGACCTGTTGCTTAAATCTGACCAAGACTGCGAAAGAAAAGAAGTGGGTCAGGCCACTCAGACACAGGGGAACTCCAATTTCCCCATTCAGGTCTTTCCCCAGGTGTTCTGTGCCCTAAAGAGTGGGGGCCTGCAAGACAAGTGAGACCCCCAGACCCTGAGGATAGTATCCTGTGGCGCCTCCCCCTAACCCCCCCCCAGTTAGAAAAAGTATGGTGGGTTTGGGGAGGGGTGAGCTGTACACCTCAGACATGCTCAAGAAGCTGTCCTGGCTGTCACCCCGGGGGCAGACGGCGTTCATGCGCACAAGACGCTGTTTCCTCTTTGGACAAGGTTCCTTGGTCAGAGAGCTGGCAGGCCCATCCCACTGCACCTGCTTAGAGGAAACAGAGAGAGAGAAATGGCTCATAAAACACGCAGCCAAGAACTGCCTGCAGGGCAGAAAATACTGGCGGGAACAACGCCATATAGATGATAAGGAGCTGCCATTTTTCTCCTACCCCAGTCATGTGCTGGGGAATATGAGTATGTTGCCTGCTAACAAGTAATTTTAACGTGTATTCCCCCCATATAATAAAATTGTCGTTCTGTTGTCATGCTGCAGTTTGCATGGCTGTCAGTAGGTGGCTACAGTAACTCCAGTGTGGCAGTAGGCAAGCAAGCAGTGGAGGTGGCAAGTGGCCCTAGTGAGCTATTTAAAAGCAGGATGGGAGGCACTCCAGAGAGCAGTTTGGTAAGCCAGTTTCTGAAATGCCTCCCATCCTCCTTTCAAAGGGGTTGGAGGTCTCGGAGGGCTGGGGGAGTGGGTGCTGGGAGGGGAGGTCTGGGCGAACTAGGAGGGGATAGGCGAGGAAGTGGGGGAGGTGTAATGGGAGGGGGCCCTCGGTTACCCTCATCCCAAAACTCACCGCGAGCACTGAGCCACTTAGGCCTGTCTGCTTCCTGAGTTCACAGATCTCATCAGTGAGCTCAAAGACTTTGCGGCGGAGCGAATCTTTCTCCAGGAGGCTCTGAGAAATTTCCACCTGAGCAGCATCCCTTGCGCTGTAGGCCTGGGGGGGGGGGGCAGAAAAACATCGGCAAGGGCTTTAGGAGACAGACGGAAATAAGCTATCGGCAGCAACAGTTACAGGGACAAGTGCAGGAGATCAAAACTGTTCTCACAATAGCTTAAAGGTTCCAGTGAGCCATTTGCTCTGGGGCCTTGAGAATCAATCCTAAATAGGGGCAGAACATACCACAGGAAGCACAAGGAGTACTCTGCAGTACCAAAAGAAAAACCAAGGTGCTGCCTGAGTTGTCTTGGAAGTCTGGGGGAAGAGATTCCGCAAACAGAATTAGTAATGCAGCCAATTCTCTGCTTAGATAACAAGCCTTGTTACAATTGCTGCTATCTTTTTAACTACTGGGCTGGATTCTAGGTAAAGGTAAAGGGACCCCTGACCATTAGGTCCAGTCGTGGCCGACTCTGGGGTTGCGGCGCTCATCTCGCTTTATTGGCCGAGGGAGCCGGCGTACAGTTTCCGGGTCATGTGGCCAGCATGACTAAGCCGCTTCTGGCGAACCAGAGCAGTGCACGGAAACCCCGTTTACCTTCCCGCCGGAGCGGTACCTATTTATCTACTTGCACTTTGATGTGCTTTCAAACTGCTAGGTTGGCAGGAGCAGGGACCAAGCAACGGGAGCTCACCCTGTCGCGGGGATTCGAACCAGCGACCTTCTGATCGGCAAGCCCTAGGCTCTGTGGTTTAACCCACAGCGCCACCTGCCCATTAAAACCTTGCAGCTAGTAACAGGTAATGTCCATTATATGGCTTGGAACATTTGATTGGACATTTCCTTAACTGTTGCAACATTCTAGAATGGTAAAGATCCCTTCTAATTGGACAAGCCACCACTTCCCTTACTTTGGTAACCTCCCTGCCGCCTGCCCTGAAAACAACTCTGCTGCGTTCAGACCTCTAGGTTACCTGATCTCTCTCTTTCTGCAGATCAGCCACTTGTGCCTGGAGGGCACTGATTTTGTCCTTGTAGATCTCACAGTCCACCTTCATCCTCTGGCACTGGATCAGAGTGTGCTCCTTTTCTTCCCAGCACTGAATAGTGACAAAAAATGTTAGCAAGATATTAACACCCAGTAAATGCATGACACTCTCTGCCACCGCCTTAATGCACGGAACGGAATTGTAGAGTTGGAAAGGACCGAGGGGGGTCATCTAGTCCAAACCCCTGCAATGGCTGGAATCTTTGTGACCAGCGTGGGGCTCAAACCCACAACCCTGAAATTAAGAGTCTCATGCTGTACCAACTGAGCTATCCTAGGTCCTCTTGACACCTACATCATGCTGGTAATGTAACCCAGCTTGACAGTGTTCAGGTGCAACATTGAAATATATTTGGAGCAGCTTTCGTTGTGAGACTCTGTCCTAAAGGTATTGGCTCTCCGCAGTTTTAATCAGATGCTTTTTGGTATTTTAAATGTTCTATGGTTTATTTATTTTTGGTATTGCTTTGTGTCCTTAGATGCCCTGAGTTCCCCTAGGGGAGGAAGCATGGGAAACAAATGTAAATAAACAATGTGGGCTTGATTTTGTAACCTCATGCTACAGACTGAAGTACGGGCATGAAGCTAGCTATGCTAGTTGAATTGTCCTCCTGACCTGAGTTGGAAAGAGGCTTGATTCCTCTGCCTCCCACCTTGCCTAAAGGCAAGCATGGGTTGTGCGGCCCCCTCTCACCTGCTTCCGCTGATTCTCAGCAAGCGCCGCCTGCTCCCTCAGCGAGTGGATGCGATTCAGCAGCTCCTGCTTTCCGTCCAGAGCATCATCGAGGTTCTGCTCCAGGATATCCTTCTGCACCTGGGCAAATGAGAGAGGCTCATCAGAGGCGCATTTCCGCTTGCCTAGGTTGGGGAGGATGGCTGTGGAAACCCATATGTGGCAGTTGGATCTGTGACAATCTGCCTCCTCAAAAGCTAAGCCTCCAGCCAGTAAAGGAATGTTATGTAGTTGGAGGGGATTTGTGCAAGACAAACCATTTTGCTGAAATGCGAGGAAGCAACTGTGCAGTTGCCTATATAAGTTTGTAAGAAGCTTGTATTTAGGGCAAACACATTAAGGGCATATCTACATTGCAAGTCTACATTGGTTCTTACACCAGATGACCAATATGCTGCTGAAGTATCATAGAAATGGTTGTTTTGTGAAGCTAAAAATTCTGTTAAGAAATCCCCAGCTCTTGTCACAGAACTACAGTTCACTGGATTCTCCGAGGGAAGGAAAAGGACTGTGAAAAGAAGCCACAGCACAGGCAAAACCAGTATGAAAGTATTCCTGGAAATAGTCTTTTACCACACTGAAGGTCCCCAGCTCCACCATTGACTTGAGACGCTCGTTCTCTTCTCTCAGTGTCTGAAGTTCATCGGCCTGTGGCTGTGTGTCCCCAGCTGGCCTTGAGGACCTCTCCCATTCACAATAGGATGACACCCGGGCTCGCTGCAATTCCTGCTTCATCAGGTACAGCTACCATTGATGGGAACACAGAGAAGAAAAAGAAGCAGAAGCAGTAGTGAGCGAGCAAGACGAGTGGTGGCAGCATGAAACACCTGGCCAGGTTTGGATGCTCACTCTGAAACACGGGACCTGAGGGTCTGGTTTTAAGCATGCAGCTAGACTGCCAGTCCCTCTAACAGTGGACTCAGCTGGGGAGGGGACAACAGAACTGGAGCCAAAACAGGCCCACTGAGAAACCAGATGGTGGCACCAGCACGTTCAAGGAAACTCCAAATTTAAAACAAAAATACCCAACACACATACCCATCCCCAACAGCCAAGGAAAGACTGAGCATGCTTAGTGCCCACAGAATGTTGAGGAGCAGCTGGGAAAGAAAGATGAAAAACTGGGAGTGGGGAATGGCCCACTTGAGCACTTTACAGCTTATACAAAGTGTGGTGGGGGCTGCTGATCTACAGCTCCCATTAGCTCAAGCAATCATGGTTAATGGCCAGATGTTATGGAAGTTGTAGTTCAGCAACATATGGAGGGCCAGTGGTTCCTCACACCTGGCTTATGGTATTCTAGAAAAGAGCATGATTGACTGGCTGGTAGAAACTCTGAACAGGACCACCCCTACTGAGGGATGTCATCTTCTACGCTCCAGACCTATGCTGGTTCTGCAAGAAGCCAAGCTAAATACATACTTAGGTCAATCATAGCACAGGAGGAAAGAGAAAAATCTGGACAACTATAAAGAAATCGGTGATAGGCTACTTGTTCTCCTAGCACACAATCCAATCTACAATACCACCCTCTTCAGCTGATAGGTCCAATAAACCAGGCATTTCAGGAGTCATCTTGTAAGAAACCCTACTCTCTTCCAACAAGCAGATACCAAACAATCTTGGTCTGGAATCAGATTGCGTCATTTCCATGGAATTTTATGTTATGTCACTTCCAGTCAATCAAAATGGGTCATCATCTACTGGTAATTGTATTGGAGGAGGTGTCCATGGGGTGGAAGAGCTATGCCTTTCCTCTGAAGCTGCAGCATAAATTGTTGCCTCCAGTGGAGGCAAGGTGCCAAGCTAGGCATTCCTCCGGGCAAGCTAACAATTCCTGCATTCCGAAACACCTAGCAGTAAAAGTGGGCATGTATAAAAATAGCTACAGATTACTGACAGGAAGCACTCTGGAGCTGTGGCAAAACATTCCTTGAAACGCTGCATTTAGAGGACTAGCGAAAGACTCTGGGAATTCCTTTGAAACACATAATGCACATCCATTATTCCTGATAGCAGCCTTTCACTCCTAAAATGATGTGACAACATCAGCTGAGCACGACATCCACCACACCTCTTCCTGCAGGCTCTGACAGCGGGTGATGGCCAGGTCCTTCTCCTGCAGGGCACTGCTGTAACGTAAAGACAGGCCATAAAGTTCATCTTTAAGCTTGAGGGCTTCATGGAAGTGGGCACTGAGCTCCCTCTTCATGCGGTTACATTCGGCCTCAATGCCGCTCAGGCTTTCAGCTTGTGCTTCCAGTCGGGCGGTCTTCTCCTTCAGCTTGCGGCAGTGATGGAGCAAAGACACCTTCTGCCTCTTCTCCTGGCTCAGTTCTTCCTGCAGGCTGCTCACTGCCTTGGCCAAGCATTCTGTCAGTTGGGAACTCTCAATCAAGTCTAGGGTAAGGGAAATAACAACAGTTAGGCCTTTGACTGGTCCAGGCCTACCATGAAGCAGACAGAGCAAGGCATCCACCTCAGGCAGACAGATTTTGGCAGCAGTCTGGTGTTTATTGTATTTCTGCTACCTGTGAGGAAGTTGGCAAGGGGAAAAGGTGTGTGTGTGTGTGTGTGTGTGTGTGTGTGTGTGTAAGAGACACCATTTTGATTATCTGCCTTAGGTGCCAAAACATCTTGGGTCAGCCTCACTTCAGGGGCTGAAGATTGTTTTTAACACAACTGTCTCCTCTCAAGAAAGTGAACCATGAATAGGTGGGGTACAGGGTTTGAGAAAACTCACCACTGAAATGATTGTGGTCTATGGAAGGTTCCAAGCCAGTGATGAGCACATAAATATCTGGGTTGTGGAGTTTCAGGCTTTCCAGAAAGGCAAGGGCTCCATTTTTCCCACGGAATTTCAAGAGATCCAGCATGTGACCTACAAGGGAATAAGAAAGAGCAACAATAAAGCGATGGAGTTCCTCTCCCATGGGGCTCCCTAAGACCCACCCTGCCTGCGGGGTCAGTGGAACATGGCAGGTGATGTGATGTGCCGTATCTCTGCAAGTAATTTTGCTAGCCAGCTAAATGGCCTTCTATAGCACTTGCAGTACAGAGAAGTCAACAGAGCAGTCTTTAAGGACATAAGTCTTGCAAAATAGGCTGCAATCAGTTGTCTTGACGGGCCCAGCTTTGGCTTCCTTCCTTCAGCCTTGGTCTGTGCAGGAATGATTTTATCCTACCTGTGGTCTTTGTGGGACAATTTGCCTATCTGTCTCTGGCAGCTTTCTCCAATCTGGTGCCCTTGTGCTGACTGGGGTTGATAAGCATTGTTGTCCAAAATATATTGAGGGCACCAGGTTGCCCCTTTGTGAAACACCCATCCTCCTTTGACTGACACAGAGGAACTCCTTCCCATTTAGTATTGCATTTATTCCCCCAGCCACAAATGATGTCCTAGTAGTCCAAATATTTGCATCAATAGCTAGCCTTCCCTCCAGTGGAGCACTACCATGTTGAGATTCTTTGGACACAGGCTATGTCTGCTTCTAAATTTGGTAGCCTTCCTCATCTGCTTATGGTGAGGATGATTGATGATAAACTTGGTGGTGTAGACAAGGTTCAACAGGGCTGCCCCACCTCCCCTTCTGCATTTCTTCTAGAGGGAGAGGAGCAAGAAAGAAACATATCCCCTTTCCCCGTTATAGGTAGATGTGCCTTCTGGCGTCCCATCAACATTGCCACACTAAGGCTGCTCACCCACTCTCATGGCGCTGTTTGTGAACTGAGGGCTGTGCAGCACCTCTTCCTCGTCAAGTTGACCGAGCACCTTGGCCTGGCGCAGGTAGGGTGTAAGCCGGCTCGGGGTGACACCACGAACAATCCTGTAGCGATGACCCTCTACCATCTCCCACAAAAGGTCCTCGTCCATGTCACGGAGCTGTTGATCAACCAGGATGGGGTCATCTGCTCCTGCCTCCGCCATAATAGGAACCTGGAAGGACGAGAGGGGCTAGTAGTTTTTCGAAGGACACAAATCAAAAACTTGTTTTTCGAAGCTCTAAATACACAGTAGGTAAGCGCTCCATAAGGTACACAACTCTTGTTCCAAATTGGGTGTGTGGCACAGCAGAGGCCGAATCCCAGCCTAGAAAACAGCATTGCACAATACTGCAGGACCAAAAGGATTCTTGGAGATCGAGTCCATAATCCTCTCTGCTTTTATCCAAACTAACACTACATGCATTATGCACCTGTCTTCATTATACACCTTTAGGCACCAGGCAAAAACGTTCCTTTTTAACCAGGCCTTTGGCTGATTTGATTGACATCCTATGGCCTTTTAAAATGTGCGGTGGTTTTTTTTTTGGAGGGGGGTGTTACTGGGTTGCTGTTTTTATTTTGATTATATATTTTGTGGTTTTATATTCTGATTTTGTTCTATGAACCACCCTGAGACCTCTGGGTATAGGGCAGTATATAAATTCAAGTCATACATACATACATACATACATACATACATACATACATACTACAGATGCAAACATACTACAGCAAATTATCCAACTACCTGAAATGTGTCTATTATACTTTCTTACCTAAGTGTAGCAACAATTTAGTCCTGGATGCATAATCCCCCCCCCTTTTTCTTAAAATGCTTCTAGACCTTATGGAACATAGCTGTCAACCTTCCCTTTTTTTACGGGAAATTCCCTTATTTCCCGCTGCTTCCCGCTGCTATCCCGGATTGTTAGATATCCCGTAGACTGTCCCCAGGACAGGTGAGGCTGCTGATCCCTTATTTTCGAGGCTGCTGATTCCTTATTTTCAAATCTGAAAGTTGACAGCTATGTTATGGAAGCAAAAAAACCAGAGGCTTGAAATAGTGTGAGCAATGCCTACTGACATCTCAGGTGCCGGAAGAGCAGTTGGATTAAAATATGCAATGGTAAAGGAGGGGAAGGTTCTTCAGTGTCACATACTGGCTTGCTCCTCCCCATGGCAAACACAATGTACTATGCAAACGTCATATGTGCATTTTTATTTTATTTTTTGTATTTTGCATCATTTACACAGGGCACAGAATTTGACCTGTTTTGTGTGTGCAGCACAGAGAGTCCTGATTACAGTGTGTCACAAGCAAAGCATGAACCTGCATGCCAAAGATGCATATGAGGTTCAAATAATAGTTTATTAAAATCAACCACATTGGTTCATTGAGTCCAGAAGGAAAATCTATTTATGGTGTAAAACCTGCTGCCAGACTTTTTTCTTCCCAGCTTGCTCACAAAGGATTGCTGGTTAATAATTGAGAATAGAAGGTTCCTATTTCATGAGAAGGGACTAATGGTTAGGAGATCTTTTCCTAGTAGGCTAGGAATCTCTGCATGTGTTTGAATGAGACACTACCTTGAGTCTGGATAAGGTGACACTCCTCCATCTGATGGCCAGAAGGCAGAAAAACAACAGTTGACATTTTCCCAAAGCATGTGTGTGCTCCGGGTGGAGTGAACTGAAACTGCAGGATTGACCAAGCTGCTACCCATAAATAGGGGGATTTCCTGTCTTGTTTGAAATGCATGCTTTGCCTCCACTTACGCTTTGCTTGCACATTTGTCAACAAACATTATAAATGCACCCCAAATATCCTGAGCTGCCTTATCCAAAGGAAACTAAACCCGGAAGTATTGCCATTGGAACTTTTCCACACTTGAAGAAGTGGGTGGATGAACACGAACACACACACACACACACACACACACACACACACACAGGCACCTTAATAAATTGTTATCTAACCTACACATTTATTTAACATTTACAGTGTGGATGTCCGCTGAATTCTGGAGTAAAGCCTGATGGCTGATAATCTGCTCCTTGTCAACTTACATCTAGAGCTGGAATTATTCCCATGTGCACCTCCCCTGTCCGTTCTGTGTCCTTCCAAGTGTCTAGCGCATATCTAAAGGTAAAGGTAAAGGGACCCCTGACCATTAGGTCCAGTCGTGGCCGACTGAGGTTGCTGCTCTCATCTCGCTTTACTGGCCGAGGGAGCCAGCGTACATGTGGCCAGCATGACTAAGCCGCTTCTGGCGAACCAGAGCAGCTCACGGAAACGCCGTTTACCTTCCCACCGGAGCAGTACCTATTTATCTACTTGCAATTTGACATGCTTTCAAACCGCTAGGTTGGCAGGAGCAGGGATCTAGTGCTAACTAAATAACCACAACAACTATATAGTCCTCTTATGAACCACAATGGACTGTTAACACCACCAACCCATTTACCTAGAGGCAGCAGTGATTAAACATGGCAATAAAATTCCAATAAGGTAGGCAGGGATGAGAACATTATCCTAACCATCAAAACTAGAAGCTTCTCTTCCTCCTCCTCCTCCTCACTGCAACCAATTAGATTTGGCTTCCTATATGAAAGTAAGTAGCACAGGGCCATATTCCAGCTAGAGCAGTTCAAGAAGCTGACGGGCTGCCCAAACAAGGAAAGTACAGTTAGAAGAACAATCATGTCAATAGCCGTTTCTCTTTTAGGCACAGAATTTTTTAGGTGGTTGGGGAGAAACCATAATACTGGGCAAAACGTGTTTCGGATAATTTGAAGTGCCTGATAGGGGGCAAAACCTTTCCAGATTGGGTAGAAATTTTATTTTTGCCTTCCTTTCCTAAATCAAATAATAAAGCAAGCCGCCATCGCCACCACCAAGCAACAAACCCGAGCACTTGGGCTTGGCCCTACCATTAGGCAGGGAACAGCAGAGTGAAGCAGGGAACAGCAGCAAGGTGCTGGAGGATAGAGTTCTCTGTGTTTGTGTGCTCTCCTCCTCTTCCCTCTCAGGTGTTTTGGAGGATGCTGTCCCATCACTGTCTGTTGATATAAGATTCAGTTACCAGTCCAATTGGCTTCTGTACGGGGAATGGGGAGCACCAGCAACTTTTGCCACAGGAAGATCTTTGGCTGGCTCTGCCAACACTACCCTCCAGGACCCTAGGTCTCCTGCTACATTAATTTATTTTGAGATTTCTGCATAATCCTTTACCTAACAGTCCTGGGCAGATTAAAAACATCAGAAATACATAATATGCATCATTATTAATTCACTCATGTATGCAACGTTGCCCGATTATTGCCTG